TGAATAGCCTATATAAAAAAAGTGGAAGATAGCAACGCAAATGAGTCGATGGAATGCAAGGAAATACTCGTGTCCAGCACGGGTGGTCATCAAGTGGAATGTACTGAAACAGGTTGTGGAAGCCATCCACCTCCATCCACAACTTTAAGGGCCAAATTCGACAAAGAATTCGAACATCAGAATAGTTCAATTATGAAGCAATAGATACAACAAGAGCAGTTAGCGGGGGTATTAAGAGTTGAACCTCAATTTTCGAGAGACACTGACAGATAAGCACTCTACATATCATTCCAAACAAGTGACACATTACCACCCTCACCTAACACGCGACACATAACCCTCCTCACCAAACACGCGACACATAACCCTCCTCACCAAACACGCGACACATAACCCTCCTCACCAAACACGCGACACATAACCGCCCTCACCAAACACGCGACACATAACCCTCCTCACCAAACACGCGACACATAACCCTCCTCACCAAACACGCGACACATAACCGCCCTCACCAAACACGCGACACATAACCCTCCTCACCAAACACGCGACACATAACCCTCCTCACCAAACACGCGACACATAACCCTCCTCACCAAACACGCGACACATAACCCTCCTCACCAAACACGCGACACATACGCGACACCCTCCTCACCAAACACGCGACACATAACCCTCCTCACCAAACACGCGACACATAACCCTCCTCACCAAACATGCGACACATAACCCTCCTCACCAAACACGCGACACATAACCCTCCTCACCAAACACGCGACACATAACCCTCCTCACCAAACACGCGACACATAACCGTCCTCACCAAACACGCGACACATAACCGTCCTCACCAAACACGCGACACATAACCGTCCTCACCAAACACGCGACACATAACCATCCTCACCAAACACGCCAGCTGAACCTTGCCCTCCAGAGTGACGCGAAGTAAAACGATGACGTCAATACGAAGACTCGTTCCCATTGGAGGAAAGCAGCCAATGGCCGCCACCTTCCCAGCTAACCCACACACACACACACACCATAATTATTCTCATAAGTAAATAACGAATTAACCCAAATAAACACACGACATGCAAAGAAGGCAGCTGTAATAGGAGCAGCGCACGATTGAGTCATTTATGAGTATGTAAATAACAGGACATATAATCCTCTAAGAGTAGGTGAAGCCCAAACGTTTCCGACGAGGAGGGGGAGGGAGGGGTTGCTTACTGAGAACAGTGTATTGTATTCTACTGGATATTATCCACGAGTGAGGAAAACCGTGTTCAACCTGTCTGCTCGAATTGACGTCAAAATCTACACCGGGCAAAATATGGTGTGGTATAACATAGTTGTTGAGAAACAACCGCGTTTTCTATGCGTGGGTCGTCGGTTATGTTAGGGGTAGTTTTATATCGGGCAATTTGGCACATACGTCATTTTTGTGACGTTGTGGCAGCTCGAGAAGACGAACTATATATCGCAAACACACACACACACTTGTGTGCAATGTGTGTGTGTGTGTGTGTGTGTGTGTGTGTGTGTGTGTGCATTGACTCTTGGTGTGTGTATCGGTTGTTTGTGTCCAATGTGTGTGTGTGTGTGTGTGTGTGTGTGTGTGTGTGTGTGTGTGTGTGTGTGTGTGTGTGTGTGTGTGTGTGTATTTTGAGAGGAGGGAACCGCAGAGCTTGGACCCCTGCCTACAAGGGATTAATCACTCACAAGACATCTCTACATTGCTGCGTAACAATTAAAACGTAGCGTGACTAATGTCCCAGGCAGCCACCTCCACAGCCGTCCCGTGTCCCTGTCACCCTGTCACCCTGTCCCTGTCACCCCGGCTCTCTAGTCTCACGTCGGCGACGACACAACACAATCCAATTATCACACGGTCATCCAGGCAGCCTGATCTCACCTCCCTGTGTTCGTCCCAAAGCTTATCGCATCACTTATAAAACTTTAATCTCCCTCTTAATAATATAGTCAATAAACAGCCGTGATAGCTGCGTTTCTCGTCGCACTGGGAGTCGAACGGGGAGTCGAGCTGTGAGCCGAACTGGGAGTCGAACTGCAGGAGTCGGTCGCTTCCGAAGCCTCACTCTTTGTCAGCTATTGGTCGTGTAGGTCAGTGTCTTACGATTCATTATAATGTTCCTACTTTAGTCGTTCGTCAGCTTCAACTCCTAATTCTCCCCCTGCCCCCTTGGCCCTCCGCCTCCTCCCCAGGCTTCCCCTTGCCCCCCTACTCCTCCCCAGTCCCCCCTGCGGCTGTCCTCTCCTCGCCTCCTTGAGCTGCAGCTGACAGGTTTACGCCTCAACTCTCGCCACTACGTCAAGCCTGCTGTTTCCCGCCTGATCCTCCCGCTCCTTTCTCCCACCTCGCAAGTATTCCCTTGGCGGGAGTGTGGCCTGTTTGTGTCCATGTGTCTTCCTGTGTGTCCCTGTGTCTCGCTGTGTCTCCCTATGTGTTCCTGCGCGTCCTTGCGTCTCGCTGTGTGTCCCTGTGAATGTGTGTCCCAGTGTGTGACTTGAATGTGTGTCTTAGTGTGTGTAGCCTTTGCCTGTGTCCCTGTCTGTGGCTTACCTCCAAGCTGTCCTCCGTCCCTGTGGGGCGGAGGACAGCTTATGGCGCTCAGGTCAACGGATCTCCAGACGTTTACGGGCTATTCATGCCCGTGCCACCTCTTGGGTGACTTAATCTTTATCCATCAATCAATCGGGTCTCCAGGAACGCTGTTATTGGCAGCTGGAATACGATATCAGTCGCCTACCACGCGTCAATACATTATATACCCCGGGAAGTGTATTCTTGTTCTCGGTTTATCGACAGAATTTACTTTATTACATTACTACGCTTAGTAAGAAGTACACTTGCTAGTTAATTGGTAAACTAGTGTCACTGCCTTAAAGCCCCTCCAGAGGTTATCACGCCTCAAACTCAAAATCAATTCAACCTCGTAAAGAGTATTACTTTATATTAATAAAAAGCAACAAAAATTACTAGTGTTTGCGTGAGTCGCTTTCTCAATGAGAGAAAGTCAAGAGTACTGCTTGACGATGGGTAAGACTTGGTGATAAAAGACTATAGAGCCTCTTACGAATAATCATTCTATAATCCTGACTGGCACGCAAGAGAAAATAGAAGAGGCTTACCCATGGATGGGAACGAATGGGAGACATATCAAGGATATAAACAAGATATTCAATACTATCAAACCAAAACACAGCCCGTAACAACGGATTCAAATTCTAAATATTTACATTTAAGCAGGATACGGGAAAACAGGTGTTTGGGGGGAGGGGAGGATGAGCAACAGGTGTCTGGGGGGTGTACAACAGGTGCCCATGGAAGGGGGACTACAGGTGTCTGGGGGGGTTGGGGGGGCACCAGGTGCGACCAACCCCTGTACACCAGGCAATGAATACCTTCCAGATTATGCAAATACAATGAAATCAATAGACACGCGAGTGGGAAAATTTATTGGTGATTATTACACTTACCTCGAAGAAAAAAATATACAAAACATTACCTGCAGTAAAATAACCGTCAGCAGGTATTTTAACAGCCCCAGCTGTACCCCATAGTAAAATAACAGCCCCAGCTGTACCCCACAGTAAAATAACAGCCCCAGCAGTACCCCACAGTAAAATAACAGCCCCAGCAGTACCCCACAGTAAAATAACAGCCCCAGCAGTACCCCACAGTAAGGTAACAGCCCCAACAGTACCCCACAGTAAATAACAGCCCCAGCAGTACCCCACAGTAAATAACAGCCCCAGCAGTACCCCACAGTAAAATAACAGCCCCAGCAGTACCCCACAGTAAGGTAACAGCCCCAACAGTACCCCACAGTAAAATAACAGCCCCAGCAGTACCCCACAGTAAAATAACAGCCCCAGCAGTACCCCACAGTAAAATAACAGCCCCAGCAGTACCCCACAGTAAGGTAACAGCCCCAACAGTACCCCACAGTAAAATAACAGCCCCAACAGTACCCCACAGTAAAATAACAGCCCCAGCAGTACCCCACAGTAAAATAACAGCCCCAACAGTACCCCACAGTAAAATAACAGCCCCAGCAGTACCCCACAGTAAGGTAACAGCCCCAACAGTACCCCACAGTAAAATAACAGCCCCAGCAGTACCCCACAGTAAAATAACAGCCTCAGCAGTACCCCACAGTAAAATAACAGCCCCAGCAGTACCCCACAGTAAAATAACAGCCCCAGCTGTACCCCACAGTAAAATAACAGCCCCAGCAGTACCCCACAGTAAAATAACAGCCCCAGCAGTACCCCACAGTAAAATAACAGCCCCAGCAGTACCCCACAGTAAAATAACAGCCCCAGCTGTACCCCACAGTAAAATAACAGCCCCAGCTGTACCCCACAGTAAAATAACAGCCCCAGCTGTACCCCACAGTAAAATAACAGCCCCAGCTGTACCCCACAGTAAAATAACAGCCCCAGCTGTACCCCACAGTAAAATAACAGCCCCAGCTGTACCCCACAGTAAAATAACAGCCCCAGCTGTACCCCACAGTAAAATAACAGCCCCAGCTGTACCCCACAGTAAAATAACAGCCCCAGCAGTACCCCACAGTAAAATAACAGCCCCAGCTGTACCCCACAGTAAAATAACAGCCCCAGCTGTACCCCACAGTAAAATAACAGCCCCAGCTGTACCCCACAGTAAAATAACAGCCCCAGCTGTACCCCACAGTAAAATAACAGCCCCAGCAGTACCCCACAGTAAAATAACAGCCCCAGCAGTACCCCACAGTAAAATAACAGCCCCAGCAGTACCCCACAGTAAAATAACAGCCCCAGCAGTACCCCACAGTATAGTAACAGCCCCAACAGTACCCCACAGTAAGGTAACAGCCCCAACAGTACCTAACAGTAAGGTAACAGCCCCAGCTGTACCCCACAGTAAAATAACAGCCCCAGCAGTATCCCCACAGTAAGGTAACAGACATGACCGTACTCACAGAGACAAAGTCGTAGTCTTGCTCGGTGTCGAAGTAGATGAAGACTGCAGTGAGGACGTGGGCCGGAGGCGCCTTCAGCACCCAGGAACACTTGACCGCCGTCGGGTAGAACTGGCTGGGCTGCCAGGTGCCGGTTTGGGGCTCCCAGTTGCCCTCGGGGAAAGCCAGGTGGCCGCTGCTGTTGGCCGCCGTCAGGTACTTGGGTGAGTCTCCACACTCTGCGGGAACGCGACCGGATCATCCAAAGGGAAAACGAGTTCGATTAATAGGTCTATGGGAAGGTAAGTTATCTAGAGGTAGGTCGAAGTTATCTAGGAATCGATCTAAGTTATCTAGAGGTAGTCGGAAGTTATCTAGACGCAGAGGAGGGCATCTAGACCGAGAGAGACAAGGTGATAGAGAGGAAGACGTAGCAATATGTCCGGACAATCATAGAGTATGCGGCTCCAGCGTAGAGAGCATATCTTGTCAAGCACAAGACAAAGTTGGAGATGGGTCAAAGTAGGTCATCAGACTAGTCCCAGAACCACGTGGTATGAGTACCAGGAAAAGCTACATGAACTGAACCCTCACGTCTCTGAAATACCAAAGAATTAGGGGGAGACTTGATTACCACATACAAAATTCTCAGGGGAAAAGATAGAGTAGATACAGACATACCATTTATGACAGGTGGTACTCGCACAAGATGACTCAGGTGGAAACTGAGTACACATATGTGCCACAGAGACATTAGAAATAATTTGTTCAGTGTCAGATTAGTTAAGAAATGAAATGCACTAGAAATTGATGTGACGGAGCCTGACTCCATACACAGTTGCAAGTGTAAATATGGTAGAGCCCAGTAGCGCCAGGGACCTGCACACCAGAGGATTAACAGTTAAGAGGCTGGACCAAAGAACCAAAGCTCAAACCTCGCAAGCACAACTGGGTGAGTACACCCACGCGAAAGCTAATCACGAAGCGGGAAAGAAAGGGGGGATTCGAAGTTAATTTTAACATCCCAGAGATCGAACCAACTTGGCAATATTTACGACATGCGGTAAAGTTTGCGTCCTTATTATTACGGGCGCAGAAATGGGAGAGAGGCGGGTCGTCCATCACAGTGCTAGGGGTGAGAGGGAAGGGGTGAGAGGGAAGGGATGAAAGGGAAGGGGTGAATAGTGAGTGTGTTAGTGTGAGGTGGAGGGCCCCTAGCTGCATCAGCTACTCCTCATTTGACCCGCCTCTCCATTAGGGATAAATGGTTACGTCCAGTGAGAAACAGGACATTTTGGAAGCCCAGTCAAGGAGATTTATAACAGAGAATGAGTTATTGCTAGAGATTTTTGGTACAGCTGAAGAGGGAAAGGGAGGGAAGAGACGAGGGGAAAGGTAGAGATGAGGGGGAGACAAGAGTAGGGGGACGAGAGGAAGAGGGGGAAGAAAGAGATGAGGGGAGACAGGTTTACAATGTTCCACACACACACAGGGGGCCTCGTAGCCTGGTGGATAGCGCGCAGGATTCGTAATTCTGTGGCGCGGGTTCGATTCCCGCACGAGGCAGAAACAAATGGGCAAAGTTTCTTTCACCCTGAATGCCCCTGTTACCTAGCAGTAAATAGGTACCTGGGAGTTAGTCAGCTGTCACGGGCTGCTTCCTGGGGTGTGTGTGTGTGTGGTGTGGAAAAAAAAAGAAGTACTTAGTAAACAGTTGATTGACAGTTGAGAGGCGGGCCGAAAGAGCAAAGCTCAACCCCCGTAAAAACACAACTAGTAAACACACACACTCGGACCAAAGAGCCTACCGAGCAGTGTACTACAGTGAGGACGGATGATGGATCAAAACTGAAAATACTTGTTAAGGTCACAATGGGACTTGGTTGGAATGGAACGTGGAGAGGCTGGGAGCGCTCTTTTTTATACAAGTGCCATCAAGTTACTTCAGTTATTACGCACCCCATACCCATCCTGTGATTGGTAGGCACCCCATACCCATCCTATGATTGGTAGTAGAAAAGATTAGAGGCTCAGGAACAGAACCTTAAAATTCAGTTAGCTATGTAAGGTAAAATTATTAATGAAGTACAAGGTTTAACATATCTATCAATAAGTATTTACAATATATAATGGGCTCAACGGCCATTGACACCCAACGTGTCAAAGAGTAAAGCAGAGACACCCAGTGTCAAAGAGAGACGCAGAGAGAGACACACAAAGTGCCAAAGAGAGAGAGAGAGAGGGACAGAGAACAAATGGCGTGTTATCAGTAGCAATACTCACGCCCCTGGACACATCCGGTGACAGAGAGGAGGAGGAGGGTGACCACCACCGTCCCCGCCGGCCGCCCCTGCTCCACCACCACCTTCGCCGTCCCCCTTCTCCTGTCCCCTGACGTGACGGCGTCCCGCCATGCCTCGCCCCGCTGCTCTGGCTGGCCGCCTCTCCCCAACATCTTCTGGCGACGATGACCCGACGACGACGGCCGCGACGACCCCTCGACTGCGCGTAAGATTAGCCGCATCTGGAGGCTTACGTCATTACGCGAGTGTCAGCTCCTTGAGTGTGAGAGGGGCAGCTCCTTGAGTGTGAGAGGGGCAGCTCCTTGAGTGTGAGAGGGGCAGCTCCTTGAGTGTGAGAGGGGCAGCTCCTTGAGTGTGAGAGGGGCAGCTCCTTGAGTGTGAGAGGGGCAGCTCCTTGAGTATGAGAGGGGCAGCGCCTCGGGGCTTGTCTGATGCCTCCACCACCTCGTCTGGGACGGCTGGGGTTAATTTTGTTACTGAGATCACCTATAACGTAAATAGTATTAAAAAAACATGGGGGAGGTACACCACACTTACAGAAACGCTAAGTAAAACAAAGATTAAGCTGATGATCATGATGACTTCTTGACCAGGATAGTAAAGGTAGTACTAGGAGAAATTATAAAGCCTTAACCGGACTTGGTTTCAGGTCTCTCTCTCTCTCGTCCGGAAAACCTGTTCCACATGTGCAGAAATTTGCCTAATTCACCCAGAGCTTCGAACGTGCATAATCTGAGTTTTCTGGTAATTAGCGATCAATTGGTGCTATTCCTGGAGTTGGAAACTCAGTCTCAAACAAGCTTTCGGAATTAAACTGTATAGCTTAAAAAGTGAGCAGGTAATTTATCTCAACCTTCCACGAAGGTTTTCCCTGTAACCGTGTTGGTAAATCTACCTCTATTGAAACTACTAACTACTGTACCAGCACACCTCCACCAACTACTCCAATAACTACTCTACCTCATGCAGCTACACCACCACAACCATTGACTACCACCACCTCCTCTAACTACCACACCATCAACAACAACATCAACTACCCCCACCAACTACCAAACCTCTAACCTCCACTCGACTAACTACCGCATAATCAACTACCAAAACCACCGACTACTGACAAATACCACATAATCAAATAATACCCGACCAATTACTACACTAACTACTATCCCACAACCTACCTTCCTATCAACTACCACACAGACAACTACCACCCTACTATCACCCTATGAACTACCACCACACAAGCTACCAAACTACCAGCTATCCCACTACAAACTACTACCTCATCAACTATACCTCTAACAACTACCACCCCCCAACTTCCACACCACAATCTACCACTGCACAAACTACCACACCACTAATTACCACACCACAATTTACCACCTCACAAGCTATCACTCTACCAACTATCACCCCACAAACTACCATACTACAAACTACCCCCCCCCACCATGAACTACTACCCCTACCAACTACCACTACACAATCTAGCACCCTACCAACTACTACACCACCAACTACCACCTCTATCAACTACAACACGAGCAACTACCACCTCTCAAACTACCAGCTCACAAACTTCAACCCTACCAGCTACCACACCACAAACTACCACCCCACCAAGTACCACACCACAATCTACCACCCTACCAACTACCACATGCATTAACAACACTCCACAAACTGCTACCCTAGCCACTACCACACACACACACTAACTACCACTCCACAAACTACCACATCCACCAGCTATCACAACACCTGACCAGTGACGGAGTTTGAGAACTGGGGAGCTCCTGTCTTTTCTATTAATCTGGGACGGACAAAAAGGCAATATCGAAGTGAAAAAATGATATTCGAGTGAACGAGTATCAGTCAAACTGACTGAAACTCCTCCCAAAAAAAACAGAAATTTAAGGAAACTCAACAGAAAAAGTGTGTTTGGATAGTTGTTGTAACGCACTGTGATGTGGCTAGTGGGATAGGGGTGAGGGATGAGGGATGAGGGGTGAGGGTGGGTTGACCTGATATCTTCTCCACCAACGACCACCACATAGCCAGATAGCACCCAGCACCTGTCCCCCTACAGCAGCAGCACTGTCCTGGAGTTACCCCACAATGCCTATATCAGAGTCGTGTGGAGTAGTACGAGTCGTTATGCAATTTAATGCAAGCCATACTCAGCTTGTGTTTTACGGGCTCGCCATAGCCCGTGCTACATGGACACTTCGTTCTGAGTAGCTAAATCTAGAAGAACAATATCAGCTTGTGTACCTGCTGTGTTGTTAGAGTTTCACAGGGACTGATGGGAAAGATATGGGAGCGGTCCAAAGATATCAACCCAACCATATGGAAGAGATTTGTGGTATTAGAGGAACGAGTGAATGAGGAGCAAGGGAAGGCCATTAGCATAGAAGAACTTCGGGAAGGTATGCATGATCTAGTGAGAGGCAATGCAATAAAAGTGCAGGAAGAGGTGAAGGAGAGAGGGTCAAGGGGAGAAAAATACAGGTACTGACTGAAGACGTGTCATCTCGAGGAAGGCAGCTTCAAGAATGACAAGAGATGGTAGACAAAAATAATGAGGTAAATAATGGCCTAAATGTAAAACTTGACAGGAGTGATGAACTCTGCATTGCAACCTTGAACCAAGTGGAAGAATTGAAGGAAATAAACTGCAAAAGGCAGCCAAGTGTGAATAGATTACAGAATAGAAACGGCAGAAGAGGAAGGGAAGATAACAGAGGAGAGAATTAGAAAAAATCATGTATTCGAAATTTAGGGAGTAAGATCAGAAAAAACCTTTGCTTCAGGATCAGAGGGAAAGAAAATAATTAAGGAAACAGTGTTAGCGACTGTAAAAACTACCCAAACCATGAAATGTACAAGGCAGGAGTCGGAGAGAGAGGGAGAGATAAGTAGTAATAACCTACCCACCGGAGACTGAGGAGAACACATGGAAAATAAGGCAAGCGACAGAACGGAATAAAATAAAATATATTATACACAAAATTCAGGCCGGAGAAACAACAAGGAAAATGGAGCGTTTCTGCAGGCTAAGTAACTTTCAGAGAGGAAGAAATCGACCAGTGAAAGTTACTTTTATGAAGAGCAATCCAGTTAATTATATCCTGGCAGAGAAGATATATTTAAAAAATGAGGAAAAGTACTCTGCAGTGTTTATTAGACAAAACATTTCTAAGGGGGAAAGGGAGGCAGCAAAAAGAATCAAAGAAAAGCATACGAGATATACAAGGTGACCAGAAAATGGCACAAACAGGGCACAGGACGAAGGAAATCTATAAGTATTGATAGGTAAGTACCAACTACCATCCCACCAACTACTGTACCACCAATATATCACCCCCACAAACTACCAGTTACTACCCCCCACCAACTACCACCCCAACTATCCTACCACCAACTGCTATCCCCACAAACTACCAGTTACCACCCCACCAACTAACACACCACCAACTACTGTCACTTCAACTACCTCGACCATCCCTACCACCACCGCCAGTACTACCACCATCGTGAATACCACTACCACCACGACCACAACAACCACTACCACCAGAACTGCCACCACTATTATCACCAGCAACACCACCACCACCACTACCACCACAAGTACCAGCACCACCACAGCTATTACCACAACTAACCTAACCCCCACCATCGCTACCACAACTACCGCCATAACTACCCCACAACTACCACCACCACAACCACCACAACTCCCACAGCCATCCCATCGACCCCTGTCCCCTCCATAGCCCACAACGCCCCCAACCATCCTTCCTTAGACACGACGAATGGCATCACACAGCTTCTAAACCTGGCATTTTCTTGATAAAACTCCTAGTTACCCTCTAATTAACAAAGAGAACTCGCTTGCTAATTGGACACCGGCTCAAGGACTGTGAGAGAGAGAGAGGTTTTACAAAGACATCTTATTTCTGCTTGGAAATTAGAAGTCTATGTATTTTATCGTAGCCAGAAGAGCAGGTGCTCTGGACTCCAGCGAGGCAACAGCAACGCGTTGTATACGTATATATATATATATATATATATATATATATATATATATATATATATATATATATATATATATATATATATATATATATATATATATATATATATATATATATATATTAAGCATCTGTGCCTTAAGCATAGACACTGTGTCTTCCCATATTAACAGGGACTTGATGAAATTAACGTCTAAATGACCCCTCACTTGCTCTAGTGCTCTTGGGAGGTGGTGATCTTTGGTGTATTTAAATACTCCGAAATTACCATCTCTTTTAAGGGTCTGAGCGGGTGGTGGAGAGGGTTAAGGCGTACCTGTTATGCCAGTTGCTGGAAGGCTTCTGTGCTGGCTAGGGTTCGAGTCTCCTGGTGGGAAAGTGTTCTAAAGTTGTGTATATATATATATATATATATATATATATATATATATATATATATATATATATATATATATATATATATATATATATAGATAGATAGAGAGATATATAGAGAGAGAGAGAGAGAGAGAGAGAGAGAGAGAGAGAGAGAGTAGGACAGAGAGACAAAGATAAAGACAGATTGAGGCAGAGACAGAAACAGATAGAAAGATTGATAGAAAGATTGATGGATAGGTGAATAGATAGACGGATAGATGAACTGATGGATGGATAGATATATGGATAGAAAGATGAGTAGATGGACGGATAAAAAAAAATAGATGGATGGATAAAGATAGATGAATAAATAAAAAAATAGGTGGATGGATAAAATATAGGTGGATGGATAGACAGAAATGGATCAAAGATAGGTGGATGAATTGAGAGATGGGTAGATATATGGATAGGTGGATAGAGTGATAGACAGATGAGTAGGTGGATGAAAAGAGGGATAGATAGATGGGAAGGGAAAGGGGCTATCAGGAGGAAGTGCCAAGCCATCACGATTATATAGAACTTGAAAGGAACCAGGATAAGGACTGGGGATGGGACGGACGGAAGGAATGGTGCTCAACCACTTGATAGACGGTCGGGGATTGAACGCCGACCTGCTTGAAGCGAGACCTTCACTCTGCCCTCCAGCCCAAGTGATTAGGCAAACAGATAGACGGGAGACAGACAGATAGACCCGGGGAACGCCGGGTAACCCTCCCTAGTATTTTAATATTCTCATTGAGTCCAGCGGGCAAAGATATGTAAACACAATGACCTGAGACGGGGATAACTAACATATTGTGTTGGTTTAAGGGAGACGAAGTAGACCTGTCGCAAGATGACCTTCTGCAGTTCTGTCCTGATCTCATCTCTTCAGACAGGATCAGAAGTGGTAGCAGGGACAAGTGTTTCAAGCAGCAGACAACCTCAGTATAGATCGTAGGAGATACTGTTACTAATATTTTTCCTCCTCAGTCTCTCCTCAATCTCTCATTAAACATTATCTTTATCACATTCCTTCATTATCATTATCTACACTCAGTAGGCCATCTAATTCCCCTTTCACGCTTGCTGCGTCACCTTCTCACCCTTTTCCAATTGCACGTTGGCATATAGTCCCTAACTCTTCTAGTTTCT